CGCTGCTCCTGCTGCTGCCGCTTCTGCCGCTGCTCCTGCTCCTGCTTCTGCTGTTGCTCCTGCTGCTGCCGTTGCTGCTTTACACGCAAGAAGAACCTCTGAGGGGATTCCAACACCAGAGGGTCTACAGCCAGGGCTTTCGTGGTTCGGTTCTCAGGAACCCAAGTGCAAACTAAGTCTGGAAAATAATAATACAAAAAAATCTTTGAATTTGGGGAAGAAAAACATTTTCATGTTGTGAGCCTGGGAAGCAAAGTACATACTCCATAAGATACTAAACTCCACCGTGCAACCATGTGCTCTCTTTTCTCTCCCAAGATGGGAGGGCGATGCGAGCTTTCCCTCTTCATCGGGGGTCTGCTGTTCCCTCGCCTCAGCTGCACATGAGAAGCACCCTCAGGCGTGTGCACATGTGCCTGGATGTAACCCGGTCCACGGGAATCCAGAGGGGCCCGGAGGTGCCTACCAGAGGGATGTGTTTCACAGCACTCAGGGCTACCAAGTAGCACCGGTACCGACCCCTTTGGATATTTGATCAAAGCCATTATCAATTTGTGATGTGATAATGCAAGGGCAAAAACATACCCTGCGGAAATCTGTTGTTAAAGGAGAAGAAAACTTTAGGAGCTTTCGCTTTTTATAAAAATCACAGCATCACTGAATGGTTTGGGCAGGCAGGGACCTCCACAGGCAGTGAGCAGGGACAGCTTTAGCTGGATCAGGCTGCTCAGAGCCCCGTCCAGCCTGACCTGGAGTGTTCCCAGGGATGGGGCATCGACCACCTCTCTGGGCAACCTCTGCCAGCACTTCACCACCCTCATTGTAAAAAATTTTCTTCCTTATATCTAGTCTGAACCTGCCCTCTTTTCGTTTAAAACCACTACTCCTTGTTCTATCGCAACAATATGTCTGTTAAAATTAGCACACCATTAATGTCAGCATGCCTTTGAGGGCTGTGGCTGTACCTACGATAGTCTCAAACATTTATAAGTTATAATGGGCTTAAAATAATACAGGTCCAGAATTATAGAAATAAAACCAGCAGAATACACTTCTCATTTTTCCTTTGTGTTTTTGAAGACCTGAAAAAGAAAGCAAAAAAGTGTCAAGCATGTAACTATATATTAGCTACAGATTTTTATTACTTCATTGCTTCTGCTGCTTTACCCGTCCCAGTTGGCAGTGTCTTTCAGAGTTAATGCGAGAGTCAAGGTAACTACAACTTTTCTGTGAGAAGCGTAAGGAGTAGCACATCGAAAATAAAACTCTGGCACCGAACAGCCCACCCATCCAATCTGTATCTCCCCAATTTCAAGAGGAGGATGTTAGGGGGACCGTGTCAAAGGCCTTACAGAAGTCCAGATCGACGACACCCGTGGCTCTTCCATCATAGAAGGCCACCAGGTTGGTAAGGTGGGACTTGCCCTTGGTGAAGCCATGCTGGCTGTCTCGAGTCACCTCCCTGTCCTCTATGTGCCTTGTTATAGCTTCTAGGGAAGATCATGGAACAGATCCTCCAGGCACAGGTTGGCAGTTCCCAGGGCCCTCCTTTCTACCCTCTTTAAAATTGGGTGCGATGTTTCCCTTTTTCCAGTCACCATAATGGTTTAATCCCATTTTACTGTATCCAACAGAACAACTAATGCTACAGCGAGGAGATTTAGGAAGACTTTTTCATATCTAACCACAGAGTGAGGGCACTGCCACCCCCATAACTGCAAGTTCTTTTGAGGACGACTCGATATCTCCCCAGTGGAAACAGCATACAGCTGCCCATGCTACTGGCCTGGTAAGGCAGACTGAGCACTTTGCCTCGTTTTCTGCAATTATGGCTTAAAATGAACCGGGTAGGTCTTCACCCCCACCTAAAACTGGGTAAAAGGTTAGTACAGGAGATTCCTAAGTACTGTACTTCCAACAGGAATACACGTAGTGATGAAGCACAACCCTTCTGACAAAGCAGCCAGTATTTCAGTGGGTCTCCCACTCTGGGTGATCACAGCACGAGAATGAGGGCACCACTGCAGGACACCTTCCTCTCTGAAATGTCCCTGTCACCTTTGCAGATACACACGAACCAGAAGGCAGGTGGTTCTGCAGTGGCTACAGCACCCTTACAGGAGGGGCACAGCGCTTGCACGTTCACACAACAGCCAGCGAGTCAGAACCAGGAGATGCCCTGGAACAGCCATCAGAGGGGAGTGCCTAGGGAAGCGCCCCAGAACAATTTCAAAACCCAAACAATTCTTCCCTGAATGCTTCTCCTTTTATATTGGCTGTGCAGAGTGGTTAAAGTAATTGGTTTGTTAGGGTTTTTAAACTTATAAAGTGTAATTCTTTGTTTTTCAAGATGTTGCAGTGAGTCAATCCCATTCACAAAGAGAGCAGAGGGAGCAGTTAAAGGCAGACTGAGCAAGAAAAGGAGAAAATACCACGGGAGGGATTCCTCTGAGGCGAAGAACAGATAATCAACTACGGTACAGCTACACTTCAGCATTAAACAAAAACACCATCCAAACTTTTTTTTTTAAAAAAAAATTCAAAACATCTTGGGGAAAACCAGTACGAATAGTTTTTACACCTACCAACGCACCCTGGCTGCTTTTGCCAGACCCTGGAAGAGTCGTAAGCGAAACGCAGAAGTCACACCGAGCTAAAGGTTAACCACGAGACAGCTTTCTCGGAGAGGCAATCGCACGCACCTTGTTCGGGCTGGATACGGCCACCGGGCCCCTCGGCGGGTCTCTGCCGACCTTCCGCCGCGGCAGGTCTCCCTCGGCTCCCTGGCATTCAGCGGGGGGGTCAGGATCTGGTCGGAGTCGCAGGTCGCCGGCGGCGCCTTCCCCGCGGGCAGCCTGGCGTCCTGCTTCTGCCGCAGGGCCCTGGCCTTCATCCGCTGGAAGATTTTGGCCGGGGACTCGTGGGCGGGAGGCTCCCACGCCTGTCGC